TTGCTGTTTCTCCTCCCTTAATTGCTATCTTCTCCCTTCCAAAGGGCAGATTTACATACTTTCACACATTGCCGTGTATCAGCCAAAGTATATACCCCTAGGATTTTTCACTGTAGATCCTCAGAAAAATTGCAGACTATGGGAACCATTTGCACTTCAGTTTGAGATGCAGACAACACAGACTCATCCCCAACAGCCTGTGCCTGTCTTTAACAGTGAAGGGACACAGGACAGAAAACAACTTGCAGCCAAGAAGGTTCCACACACATTTGCACTACTCTGGTGATACTGAAGTGGCCTCAACGTCTCTCTAAAAGAATACAAATTCCCAGTCAGAACTGAAGAAACTTCTTGGATGAGAATCGTAATGTCTTCAAAGAAAAACAAGAAAGTCCAGTTGCCTCCTGAAAAAGCACTTTGGGACACCATAGCTGGAAGATTGAGAATCTCCATAGGCATGTAGATCCTCACGTTCCCTGAAAACATACTCTTCAGCATAGGTACATCTTCCAAAGCAGTGTGCAAGGACCGATCCTATTATTGCATAGAGTGCAAACTGCAGTAGTGGATGCCACAAGGCAATAAAGTTTTGAAGGAGAGTGCAGTATAGCACGTGTCCTAAACTCCCTAAGCTCACTTGCTGCCTTCAGGTGTAGTAGGACCAAAATCCATTTTTAAAAAATCAACTCTCAGTCAAGAATCTCTGATCTTTTGTCCAGGTAGCAAAATATTTCAGGCTAGCTTTAGCAAAGTGCAAAAGTGTTGCAATTTTGAATAGATCTGTGGATTTCCCCTATGTGCGCAGAACTAATCTTAGCAGGTGTGGCTTTTCAGATCTCACCTACACACCTCATCATCTCATCTCTCTAGTCTTCCTATTGTTCCCTTTATCTCAATGTATCTCATCTGTTTGGGGAATTCTGGGAGTTAAAGTCCACACATCTTTCAAGCTGCCAAGGTTGAGAAACACTGCTTTATCTCATTCCAAACTATAAGTGAGGCAGCTTAAAGTCGTACTTAGCTGCTCCAGTTTTAAAGTAGCATTCCCATTTTCCCCCCAATATTCTATGTGATGAACATGATCTATGATGCCAGTTAGAAGGTAAGATCCTATTGGCCACTTTAGGCTTCTGCAGGCATACCCCTCCTCTCAAGTTGCTGGTACTGCCCTCCATGGCCATTTTGTGTTGGACTACAGAACCTGGTATCCAAAGAGATACCTGCCCACTGCTTCCTTGCAAACCATGATTCAGGCAGAATGTGGACTGATTATATACAGATTTGTGTTTTAAAAAGAGGCTCTGACAAAAGATAGTGCTAGACAGCACTAGTCCTGTACTGCGAAGAAGACCAATTTAGTAGAAAAGAGAGCTAGGTTCTGCCAGCGTTTTTTGTTAGCTCTGTCATAGATATGTGCAATTTCCACAGCTTTTGTCAGCATTAAGCTTTACGTGGCCGTGTTTTAAAAATATCTTTATTTAATGAGGTAGGGATTTGAGCTACTCCCACATTATTTTGCAAAATTCTGAGTGGATGTGGCTGTAAGGTCACAACTGCAGTCATTGGCCATTTACTACAAGCACACGCTTGGTCCCTTACTTGCAGTAAACCATAAAATAGAAACATTCAGTAATACCATTGTTACACATACTCATTCCTGTTAATGGAAATAAATACTGCATATAATTCCAGAAGCGCAATTCTGCATGTCAATAAACAGACAATAGTGTTGAAGAATTTTACGGAGACACATTTCTTTTATAGCATTTTTATTGGTCCTTAGGAGTTAATAAGATGAAGGAGTGATGCTGGAGAAGGAGATGTCTCCTATACCGCCTGCTCCACCCAACCTTTTCTCCATAAGTGTGATCTGGTGTCAAGCTCTTTGAGACTGTCCTAGAATGCTGTCCAGAACAGGAAACAGATTCTACAAGAAGACTAGACAGTTTGGGGTACTTTCTTGTTGGTCACCTCCATGACTTCCTATATTGCAAACTCGGGGAACAAGAAGTACTTGGACGTTTGAAGAGATCTTTATTGCTCATAGCTAAATAGAGCAGAATATTGAAGGAACCACCTGATATACTAGGAGAGCTCTTTGCTTTTTTATTCTGCATACTCTGCCATGCCTGTGATCTATCTACTGGATCATTTTTGTACAAAGGACACATTAATCTTCTTTCAAAAATGTACCAGAGTCATATTCAGAAGAGATTGACAAGGAATGGCCATAAAGGCAATTTGAAAGATGGGTAAGTAATTGGTCCAGGCTTCTACCGGTACTTGCATTCACCCAACTACCCCCTGCCACACATTAAGGAGAGTGATTGCTGGATGCATTTTCCACTGGGAGATGATGTGGACAGAAGTATAAACCAAGCTGAGTGGTTCCAACTAACTACTGCCCTTAAATTGTACTGCATTAAAAATTAAGGACAGGGCCATTTGCCAGCCTCTTTACTCAAACAGAATAGAATTCAATTGCCAAGACAGTACAATTCTTGCTAATATATTTTTATGTCAATTCCAGGATTAGAAGAAAGCATATTAATAGAGCTATTATGAAGCAAAGCAATGAGTGAACTGCTTTGGGAATGGGCTCTTTCAATCATCATGTTACAACAGAGCCTTAGAAAGGTAGTACCACAGCTTTCAGGAAGTTACGTTCATTTTATAATATGTGGGGTAAGCTCTGGATGGATTTGGCCTGGATGGACACATGTAGTAGAACTTGGAATTTAGCCAGTGATGTTCTGGGGAGGAAATGGCAAAAGGTGTAGCCAATGACAGACTAAAGAGCTAGTGAGTGGACTGGCTCTTTAATAATTCCTCTCTCGACAAGAGAGGACTTGAGATATCCCACTAGTGCTCCAGACTGCTGCCCTAGATGATGAGACTGCAAGATAATGGTCTCTAGTGGGTTTTTAGCACGGGGAAATCAAGGGAATAGCCCTCCTGCTCAAATTATGGTTGGTCCCTTTGAAAGGACACTGTCCACATAATTTCTTTTTTTAATCATTTTTGGAAATTGCTTGTCATTTGCTTCCCAGCTATTAGAAACCTTTGGATCAACACATTTTATAGTGCCAGGTGAGTTTTCTTCAATTCTTAATGATAGAAATACAAAATTAAGGACATTTTAAAATGCAATAAATAGCAAAAAGGCAATTAAAACTTTGATTTTAGAAAGTTACTAATGGATCATTTGAAATAAAGTGCTGGAATTAATTATAAAGACCCCTTCCCATGGGATTTCTTTTTTTTTTTGAAAAAAATTCCTTTTCAAAAATGTAATACAGGTAGTCAACTTGCAACCACAATTGGACTGGAAAATTCATCATTAAATGGTGTAGCCATTAAGTAAGGCATTACATGACCCACCCAATATTATGACCTTTTACATCACAGTGATTAAGAAAATCATCATGGCCATTAAGCAAGATATCATGTGACTGTGACTTGAGACCTTCCCTGCTGCTTTTCCTATTAACTTTGCTTGTCAAAAGCTACCTGGAGAGGTTATAAATAATGATCATATGATCACAGGATGCTGTGACCATTATAAATGCACAACAGGTGCCAAGCACCTGAATCATGATAATGTGATCATGGGGACTCTACCAAATAAGTGCAAGGACTGATCATGTTACTTTTTTCAATTCCATCATAATTTTGAATGGTTGCTAAACTAATGGCCATTAAGCAAGGGTTATCCATAATATAAGACATTAAAAATTGGACACTTGAGGGAAGTAGATTAAAGATTATAATTAAAGGAGAAGAACACTCAAACCCAATTCACAATTACAAATTGAAGCCGAATATTGTAACATTGAACATACTAAAGGATATTTTTGAACAATGAATCCAAAAGTTAATTTTAAGAATGTCTGCCTCTATAGACAGCCCATGTCTAATAGATGTCATGAAAGACGAACAAGTTTTATCTGACAAGATTGAGAATGCTTTGGAAATGGATTTTAAATTGCAGGCTTCAATTAGAGATGGAAAAATATGTTACACTGGACGTACAAAACAAACTGACTGATACTTTAATAATTAAAAGGGATATGCAAATAACAAAGTAAGAGGGTGATCTGGATAACTTTCCTACATTAGATTTGCAAAGGAGACTTGTTAAAGCTTTGAAGAATTTGAGTGAAAAGGGACAAAGAAAAAGGGAAAAGAAATAAAGTACTGTACTGGAAAATTATTTGAAGGGACTAAAGATCAAAATTGTTATAAGTAAAGGGAAGGAATACAAAATTAATTTATTTAACCAAGTTAAAATAGAGTTTGTTATCTGTTGCAACCCTTAATGCACTTTTGCCAACATCAGGACTGAAATGATGAAGCTTTAAGCATTAATTTAGAGACAAGAAATGGGATATGAAAGAAGCGATAATTTGTTGTATTTAAAAGAAGGTGATAAGTTACTAAAATTGTTTGTGCATTGTGATAAAAGCTAAGTCACTTCTCTTCTCTTTTTCTTTTTCTTTATTATAGTCTTATTTTTCCTTCCTATTTTTCTTTCTATTTTTCCTTTCTTTTCTCCACCTTTGATTTTTTTTCTCTTTAATCTTTTTTTTTTTAGATTTGTAGCAGTTTTTTTGTAATTGCAATCTTTAATAAAATTACTGTTAAAAAAAAGAACTTAGCCAGTGACATGGCATTATTGGACATTTCTTTTTTAATTCTATTTTAGCAAGATGCTTATGACAAGGTTAGAATTAAGTTTGGAAGTAATAATAAACAGAAAAACCACTTTGCATGAATATTTGTCATAATTTTAAAGGCAAAGTTTTCTTGTTGCATTTTGTATGTTTCTCTGTTGTGCTTTAGGATTGTAAAATACTCTGAACTTATAGAGTTAAGCTGCATGCAAATGCTTATATGCATACATGCCACCTTCAAAGCAACATGCATACTGGTTAGCACACTCTTGTCTTCAGCCTATTTCAGTTCTACTTTTTAAATTTTATATTACTTTTTTTTCCCAGTAGGCACTTGTAACAGTGGACACGGTAGAAGTCCTGAAGGTTAGTAATCTACTTCATCACCAGGTTCAGTTTTAGGGTCAGGACAGAGCCTGTTCCTCTAGCTCTTTCCTCTGAGCTAAAGGAAGTATATCACATATGGCAGCAGAACAAGAGAAACTGTAGAGAGTAAGGCAAGATCCTGGGTGACAGATCTTTCATATCTCCATCAAGGTCATCTTTCTTACTTCTCACAAAAACAGTGGTGGTTGATTGAAAGTCTGTTAGCACCTTCCAGCATCTACTTCTCTAGAGGAAAATATTATTTATGTCACAAGGCCTATCTTATGTCTCTTTCTTAAGCCCCTTAAGCTATCCAGGCCAGGGGTGGGATCCAACAGGATTAACCACCAGTTCGGTCACTTACGAGGCTCGGTGATTTACGATGTGCTTCCCTGCACGCTGCCTATGGCACGCCTGTAAATCGTCATCAGCATACTGCGTGCAGAGAAGCAGCCTTTCAAAAAGCCCTTTTTTCCTGCTTTTTAAACTGCAGCTGTGCCTCGCATGGCAGCTGAAGTTGAAAAAATCAGGAAATAAAGGACAGGTAAGAGCCTGGGTGGGTGGGTGAGCAAAAACATCAGCAGACATAGAACCGGTTCTATGTCTGCTGCTCCTCAGAGCTACCGGTTCTACAGAGGTGGACAGAACCGGTAGAAACCCATCCCTGATCCAGGCATAGAATAAAATTTACTAATTTTGTAGCATCTCTGTGTAGAATGAGGAGGGAGCGCCATTTTATTTTTTTTGCCTCAGGCACCAAAATGCCAACCCTGATTAAGGAGCAAGTCTGAGCCCAGTGGGAATTATCTTATGTAAATATGCATAAGCTTCTCTTGGATCTAATTGTCATGAAAGTATGGGGAAATATGTTGATTGGTAAGCTTGTGGCAAATCTCAGTTCAGATTTCATTTTGTCTGAAAGGAAAAAAAGCAAATAGGTATGTCTTTTTCAAGACAAATAATGTTTCCTTTTTCCTTTTTAGTGACGGTTGTGAAGCCCAGCTCCTCTTAAATATTGAATACTGTAGGCACCTTTTCTTGTCATATTTTCATAATAAGGAAAGGAATAAGATGTATAATGTTAAGGACTATGAAATCCCATTTACACTGCCTAGCCATGTTTAACCATGGTTTAATAAATAAATCTTAATTGGTCCACAAATCTTACCGAGTCTAAAGCAAACCAATCACTTCATACACATGCGGTCCCAGCAGTGCTGAAAGGAAGAAGGGAAACTCTGCAATATATCTGCCGGGGTCTCAATAATACCTTTTTTTTCCTATCCAGAAATGGATTTGAGGCTTAATGGTACAGGCTACAGATGTTCCGGGTGGCTGGAGGTGCTTCATGCAGCCATGTGGAAGAGGATTGACAGCAGAAATTTTACACAGCAGAATGCAGAACTTGCCTGCAGAGAACTTGGTTGCCACTTACCCTTCGGGATCTTGCAACCATATGTTGAAGACTCAGAGAAGCACGAGACTTGCTTGATGACCTGCCAAAGGAATGAGACAGCTCTCAAGGACTGCATAGCCTGTGATTCTCATGGTTTCATCTCTCTGGGTGTGTTCCTAGTTTGTCAAGGTATGTGCAACCAACCCCTTTCCTATTTGCATGCTCTCTTTGAACAAAATCTGGGTCACATGGGGACAGCCGCTGGGAAACTGATGTTGTGATCTAGTTGAATTGGAAACCAGTCATAGAGGACCGTACGTGGATCTTGCCTATGTCTTAGGAATTCAGTGCAAGAATCTTGAACAGCTGCTCTGCCTAGCTTCAGGAAGGTTACTGCATTATGTGCCTTGGGCAAGAGACTGTGAGCACTGCCACACTGGCACTGCTTCCCTTCCTTGATCCTTCAAAAACATTTGGAAGAGGATCTGAGGCTTGTGGGGGGTTGTTGTTGTTGTTGTTGTTTTGCAGTTTCCCAGCATCAGAGCACTGGGGGTAGGAAGCAAACAAATCACGACCTCATAATGTGTTGCTTCAGATCTTGTAGCCATAAAAATCCTCGTGGTTCCATTCCACACAGAAAGGATAGAAAGAAAAGATATTAAGTATGGGTAATTTTCAGCAGACTCCCTATACCCGGAACAGAGTAAGCATAGACACCACTCAGTTCAGTTAGCACATAATAAATATAGTTTGACATTTATTTTTTTAAATTCAGCATCCTTCAAAAACAGTAAACTGGCAATACACAGCAAAAGGAAAGCAAAAACAGAGAATGAAATATGATCAAGAAATAAAAAGGCAAAGGACTTGATGTCAACAATCAACATTAACATATATTTATATATCAAAAAGGCACAGAGCTTCCCAGAGCAATGGAAATGATATAGTGGGCAATTAGCATGGTACTAAATTAGCAGCATGTTATTATTAGCACTAGTACTAAATACTACTTTGCATTAGTACTTAAAACAGTATTTGGTTCTCTAGATGTCAGCTTTCCTATATATACACACACAGCCAAAGAATAGAGATGGCAAATAGCACATCAGCTGGTCCTTCTTCTATTTTGCACCATGAAAAAAAGACATGGGTGGACAGGGGTAATGCACCCAATATTAGGGACCCAGACTGTCTCTTTGAGGGTTCTTATTTGTATCCTTGTTTACTTGCCTGGACTATTGAAGGAGAGGAACAAAACTGTCAAGCAGGTTTTCCTCTGAGGTGCATGATGCATCCTGCCCCCCAGTTCAGTCTGAAGTAAGTTGGGTCAGCTGCCTAAAAGAAATGAAGGCACAGAATACACAGCTAATTCAGATGTGGCATGAAAATCTCATGCAGATGTATCTTACGTAGGTAACCTTGAACATTTCCCAAAGAAAAGCTGAATAAAAATACTGTATATAATAATTTTTTCATAAAAGAGAAAAATAAAAATGGATACAAATTAATAAATCTCAATATGATTTTAAAAATGTGAAGTCTAGTTAAGGCACAATGAAAGGGACAAAATGAATAACTGAATTAATGTTCGACTTGCTAGCAAGTTGTGAAGCCAAGATTATAGCTCAGTACTAAAGAACAAGTTGAAGTGCTACAGAAACTTTATCCCTTGTTTTATTAATTTAGGTGCAATGTTAATATAGATTGCTAGTCCATGTATGATAGCCATACACTAAATAAAAGAAATTTATCTCTTGGATTGAAATCTTTCTTTCTAAAATGCTTTGGATTATCTTTATCATTTCAGCTCCTGTGCAAACCACCACGATACTCCAGCCTACAACAGCACCAATGATGACTTCCTCAAAACCCCTTGGTAGGAAAACCCAAATCTTTGCTGATGATGGTAGTGACTTAAAATTATACTCCACCTGACTTCCAACAACTTTGAGTAGTTATTTTTAGATCATTCACAACAACATGGAGGCAGTAGAACTTTCTCAGTTGTCCCCACCCTTAAAACATTTCAGAATAAAATATATATATTCTTCAATTAAAGTATCTTGATTGTCCCCACTTTTGTTAATTTTCCTCAAGGCTATAAAACAAAACTGCCTTGTGACAAGGTTGGCTAATGCTGATAGAGTTAATATTCAAAACAGCTGGAGAATATTAGCTGTCTACACTTCATGTATTGTATCTAAAGTATTCATAAGGAGGTATTTATGGTTTTCATTGGAAAAGTTAAAATATGAACACAAAACCTTGAGTTTGACGTTTGTACTGTTAATCATACTACTGCTACATTACTTGATCAGTGCCTTGTGTTACCTTTCACAAATCGCCCAAGGACAAAGATTGAAGAAGGAACCTTCTTGTGTTTAGGGATTTTGGAGCCAGATGTTGAAGTCTACAAGAAAATGCTTTGCCTGAATTTACAAAAATGGTGGAATAAGCTGGTATATCCAAGACACAAGGATCAGAACAGGGAAAGGTCGCTGCATCACTGGGAGAAGCTGTAGTGTGAGAAAAGGAATCTTAGTGTGGGTGACTGCTCAGGAAACACACAAGAGTGCTTAAGCCTAACCCTAGTTAGATGTTCAGGTGAGCAAACCTTACTGGGAGAGAGGAAATCCCTGCTCTGCTTTTCATTTGTGCTCATCATTTAAATTACACAAAATTGGTCTTTCACTGCAATTATGGGAGGGCAATTTTGTACGAAGTGGTTGAGTAACGCACTCGAATTCTGGAACTGTAGCAGCTTGTGGAGGAATGATTACATTTTCTAGTTTCCCTCCCCATTTTTAAAAAAGAAGTTCCCTGTAGTCTTATTCCATGAGAGGGGTTTTATTCCTGAAATGCTGGATCTACTACTTTCTAAAAATATGGGTCTGCTTCTTCCCATAGTACAAACAGTAGCATCCAGAATTCTACAAGCTCAGTAAAGCCACTGATATTATGAAGGTTAGTTCTTTGTTTCTTGAGCAATCGGAAAGGGAGGTTTGAACTATACAGGCAAGAAAACTGTTAACCTAGTATTCTGAACATTGATGTTCAGAGGTAACCTAATGGGTGACAGATGGTATGTAGTAGATAGTATCTAAATGATACTTATAATGGAATAATTCCAGTACAGGAATTCTTCCTGTACAGCCAGGCTGAATGCTGGAAGGAAAAAAAATGAAGTTATACAAAAAGGAGGTGGGGGGTGGATGGGAATCATTCTGGTGCTGAAATATTGAATGAGAGGACCTAAAAACAATAGCATTTCTCTGAAAATGAGCTTGTTGCTATTGAAGATATAGAGTTCTTTCAGATCTAGCTGCAGTGCCAGTATCCATGTGAAATGAGTTATCATCTGCTGATCATTTTGCATCTTGACAGAGGCTTGCAATTATTAGCATTTTCAGTATTTCAGTGTCACTCACATTGTATTTGTGGGCAAGGAAATATTTCATGGCAGGAAATGTAACTTCTGCAGGGGCAATGGATTGCACTCTGTGCCTCAAGGAGTGCCCTATAATCCTTTTCAAAGAGACTTGATCCATGTTGATTTACCCTATGTTATCCTTTTGGGAATCCTGTCGCAACAGAACTGCCAGCAGTATGTCAGCATTGGGAATTTAAAGGACAATGGAGGGCTTCTAAATCATTTCTGGGCCACCCTGAAAAGACTGCAAAAATCATTGATTGGTAGATGATTCTTTCTGAGCTTTTGACTCACAAACCTATAGATATGATTATTTTCATAGCATCTTGATAACCAAAGAGAACTGCAAATAATCCAGAGAGCCTGATCAAGTCTTCAGCACATTTTCAACTTAAATTGGGAAATGGAAAAATCTATAATCTATAGGATTTTCTGTTTCTCCAGGTCAAGTTTTGAAGTCCCATAAGTCCAGTTCAGAGACTGTCTTAGGAATCCTGCTTGGTCTTGTTCTTATTGCTGGTCTTCTGATCATCTGTGCTCTTCCTACCTACAAAAAAATTATGAAAAAATGTAAGTAAGACTGTACTGCTAATAGAAAGAGATTGTCAGAGTCTGTTTTGGGCCTCACTTTTGTGTGTGTGTGTGCTCTTACAACCATGTCAAAAATGTGTGGAAGTCCAGAAAAAAAGCAGTATGACATGCTTTTTCCAGAAACTGGTAACACAGGCTGAAGAAACTGACTTGGGAGATCCATTGATCCATTGCACCAGGAATTTTCTGGTTCTCACATTTCACTCTAGGACTACTGTTTGCTATATTGCACTCTCTACTCAAACGTATGCACACATACCCCTTTCTTTTTTAGATACCCTAATGACATCAATTTGCATGGTGTATTTTTGTTCATATGCCTTCATTTAAATTTTACCTTCTACCATCTCGAAATGTCTTGAAAATAAACCCCATTAATATCAAAGATGTAAATCCCTGCATCAGATTCTCTCCATGTTTAGATGCACTCTTAATAAAAGAAAATATATGTAGCTCAGGACTGAACTGTGAACTCTCTGAGCTTCGTAGTTTGCTTGCAGACATTTCATTACTCCACTGCATGACATAATTAATCATTTTTTTTGGGGGGGGGGGATGATGTTACCTAGGTGAGTAATGAAACATCTACAAGCAAACAATCAAGCTTGTACAGCAAAAGGGACTCCAGAGATGGATACTGCTGGGCCCATTTTGTCTCCATTTATTGTTTCCATCTCCCCTGTTTCTCACCAGGTCACAAAAAATATGATGGCTGTACAGATATTTCCTAGCAGTATCTGGCACTAATTAATAGTTCTTCTATTATGGTATTACAGTTATTTTCAACATTGCTAGAAGGATACTATGCATGTTCTAATCCTTCTGTGAACATTAACAGCCTGTGTATGCAACCTGCATTCAAAATGATTTTATAAAATCCTTTCTAGTCATCACAGTTTTGGGGAATATAGTTAATAACAATGAATGGGAACATTCCTCATGCTTTTTTATTAGCATGCAAGCATACAGGGCTACAAAAAAAATAAACAGGATCTTTCTGATTACAGCCATTAATCACTTCAAAATATCGGTGGCTCCTTAATATATTGCATTACAACAGAAGCATTTCACTTCAGAGTATTTTACTATTATTTTAATTATGTCTGGGTTGGAAGTGATTACTGCTGTTTAAAAGATAATTTTAAAGGCCATTCAGAGGAGGTTACAAAGGTTCCTGCAGCAAAGTGTTGAAAGAATTTATGCTGAGCAGTGATAGTTAGCTGCTTAATAAGTCATTGCTGAGGTCAAAAGCAAGTCTATCTAAAAAGATATAAAAAGCTAGATTGTACTGGCAATGAGTCTATTGCATCTTCTTTGGGGGGAAAAACAGACTTCCTGCATATCCAGGAATGGAAAGCACGTAGTTTGATTGTATTATGTAACCATTTTCCATCCTCCTCAACATGAGTGATGCCATGCAACCTCATCCATAAATTCCTTGTCCACCATGCATTGCCTTCCACCGAGTCAAAGGTGGGCCGATGAACCTGTGTCTGTAGGTATCCCATGCCACTTCATGCATGCTCCATGCTTTACACACTAAAAGCGTATGGTTATTAACTAGTAAGGATTATACTCCTGGAACTTGGGGGAAGTATATTTATGCCCTAGCACAAGGGTCTTCAAACTTGGCAAGTTTAAGACTTGTGGACTTCAACTCCCAGAATTCCTGAGATAACACGACTGGAGGATGAATTCTGGGAGTTGAAGCCCACAAGTCTTAAAGCTGTCAAGTTTGAAGACCCCAGCTCTAGCTGATTATATCATCAATCCCATGTCCCCTTCTTTCCGTCCTCTGCAGATTCCAAGAAAAGGCAGCAATGGATTGGCCCAAGTGGGATGAACCAAAATGGTAAGAAATCACCTGCAAAGCAGGGAGCAAGAATCCACAGTCTAATTTCTCCTGTAAGTAAAAGGGAATAGGCATTTGCATGTCTCATAATGTACACAGGGACACTGAATAAACACTTTTCCTAATGCAGGTTTTATGTTCTCATTATAAATGGATATAAGTGGTCAGGTTGGTGATGTGGACCATATCATCCTAGTAAGATTTGATCTCAGAAAAGTAGGAACCATACTACCTACCTTTCAATCAACACACTTTGGAGGGGGTTACAAGAATAACCACTGCTTACTTTGGGATAGTGGGACTTTTAATCCATCTGGCAAGAAGAATAAAGAACTAAATAGTCACCCTCCATCCCAAAGTGAGCCTCTCACCTAAAAAAGTAGATGGGCAATCTTACAGTATCTCCACCTGCATCATTAAATGTAAAGCACAATCCTGCTGGATGATGAGACAAACTTGTCCCATCCCAATCATGCAGTCTTTATGGGTATAACTTTATCTTCCATAAGCCTCAATAAATCAAGATGGAAGAAATCAGATCTTCACATTTGTCAGACTCCTAAGACATTGACCAATATCTGTGAGTTACAGGCTGCTTAAAGCGACTGTCATCCTGTATTTCTAGCCTCTGTGAGAAGAGTGATAATTCTCTTCTAAATGTACCCTTAAACAGCACTCTGTTATTTATGACTGGGCCATATATTTTACAACTAAAGTTGACATTCCAAAGCAGATCTGCTGGGTCCTGGTCAAAATTCCTCTCCCAAAGCACTCACTTTCAGGTTCCACACGAGAGGAAAAAAAGAAGCCATCCCTTTTAAAGTCTCACTATCTTTGCAGTGGATGCAACATTATTGAACTCGAAACATATGGCAGAGAGGAACTGCAAAAGAATTCCAGGCAAGACTAATGTCATTTGTTTCCTGGCAAACATGAGGATTCTAATGTAAATGCCACAAATGCCTCTTCTGATTATGGACAGAGATCTAGTGTCATAATCACAATTTCAATGAAACATGTGGGTAGAATAATAAATGGGTAGGTTGGTGTGAATATTTTACTGTTCAGTTATTGCGGGAGACCCTGTCCCAAAAACATGGTTTGGCTCCCTCTAGAGGTGGGAAGTAGGTTGGCAGCCCAATGAAGACTGCAGTGCAGACCTTCTGCTTTTGCTGATATCCAGCCAAGAAACCCTTTGAAGAGCCAGACTGGACATAATGTTAACTATGTGACTGTAATCATGATCTTTAATTTTTGAATACTGAGTAGCAGCAATGAAAGGCCTTAATCAGGATGTTTTCGCACCTATTTTAAAGATTCTTCTCCCAGTCCCAGGACATAAGATTCAAAATATTCTCTTCTTCCACACCACTGAGGGTGCTTTTGATCCTGGGATGGAAGTGCAAGTTACTTCCAGTTTAAAAAGAAGTGGGTACATTTTTGCAATGAAAGATGTGTGCACAGAATTGACAGTGCTGTTGATGGTGATTTCAAAGGATGATCCAGAAAAGCATGTGTTTTGTTGAACTAGAACTTTTTAAGAATATGATGGTTGGCATTAGCATGTAGCAATAGCACATAGACTTATATATCACTTCACAGTGCTTTAGAGTTCTCTCTAAGTAGTTTACAGAATCAGCATATTGCCCCCAACAATCTGGGTCTTCATTTTACTGACTTTGGAAGGATGGAAGGCTAAGTCAATCTTGAGCCAGTGAGATTCGAACTGCTGAACTGCTGGCAGAAGTAGCCTGCAGTACTGCATTCTAACCACTGCACCACCACAGCTCTTAATACATTGGATGCACATGAGCATGGACGTTATTTTTTTTTGATAAACTCTTTTGAATGGGACGGCTCCCGGATGTACTCTGTTTTTAAAAGGTGTCCTAAAGAGCACTGCTCCATCAGGGCTTTCCCCTACAAACTATAATTTTAATTTCAACTGGTCACAAAGCCAGGAAATGTGTATCTTCACATGAATGAAGATTTGGAGCAAAGAAACAAAATGGTAACATGAACGAGATTCAATATATAAGAAAGTAAGGCAACCTTATGTTTTTCTTTAGTTTCATTCCATCGCAAGACCTCTACTCCCTTCCAGACACATCTTGAAAACCCAGTTGTTCAGGAAGCCTCCCAGAAAACTTATCTCTCACCTTATGCAGGTAACATTTTCTTGCTTAAACTAAAAGTGTGTGTCACCTCTTAAAAATTGTACCATTAGTCCAAAGATGTTGATCCAAGGCATCTTAGTCTCACAACAGATCAGATGGACATTCCTGATAGTAGATCTAATAAATATGATGATAACTTCATCCCAGTTCAATTTCTTTCTTTCCCCATATATTGGAGTGCAATCATTTGTAGTTGTGCCAACCAAAACATTGATCTAAACAAAGCATCAAGACCCATTGTAATGTTCAGTTTTATATCAGGCTATGAATATATATTATTTTTATCTCTACTGTGGGCAATTGACTCATAAGCTACATACAGGTACTGATTATCAGATCAGGGCACTACAATATGTACTTTTGCTGTGTTTTCAGGGTCATTTTTTTCCTGTGTTTTCAGCAATATCCTAATGGAGGGCCAGTTTCTCAATAATTTATATTTTGTGATGGATCCAGATGAAGTAAACTAATCAATTCTCATTATGCCAGTACAAATCTTCTGTTTCTAATTATTCTTTGTGAACAAATTATGAATCTGTAGTTTTCCATTTTTGCACAAAATCAAAAAGTGCACTGATGCTAATATTGGCCTGCACCATATAAAATCTTGTTCCAATTCTTACAAGTAATCACAATGATAGAGATAAGAGAAGGCAAATGTTTTATATAACCCATAAGGCCATTAGAACTGTAATTTTGGTTACTATTTGTGATGTTATGAAAGAACAGATTAGATAGATAGGAGACAGAGGGGGGGATAGATAGATAGATAGATAGATAGATAGATAGATAGATAGATAGATAGATAGATCGAGAGATAGATAGATAGAGAGAGAGAGAGAGAGAGAGAGATAGATGATAGATAGATAGATAGATAGATAGATAGATAGATAGATAGATAGAT